TAGAACTGTTCAAGACATGGGGACCATGGTGGTGGTGTGCCCAGCAAAGGGATCTCTGTGATGAGACTGGAGACCACTGTAAGGAAATCTCCAAGGCAAGGTACACAGATTGCATTTGAGGATGTCATAAAGATGGGGACAAGGGGCTGACGTCCTGAAAGTGTTTCCTGCCATCCCACTGCAGCCACATCTGTGAATTCTTTGACTAATACAGTACTCCTTGATTGGAAGTCATGGTACACGGCACAACCGACTGCTGTGCTCAACAGAGTCCTGGTCCTCAGCCCATGTGGACTGTCTCTGTCTTTCCTCACCCATCTGTCTTCCATCCCAGACAGACAGCTTCAGATAATTAAGTACCCTAGAAATGACAGATGTTTTCCAATGAGAGGTGTTTTCCATTTTTTTTTTTTTTATTGAGTTCCAAGGACAGAGAGAAGCTCAATCTCAAAATGTTTACATCTCTAATTATGGTTCATTTCACTTGAGCAAATTCATCTTCTAGACCAGGCAGCAGAGGAAACTAGTAACACAGCCTGCAAGCATGGCCCCCAGTGCAGAGCTGGCCCAGTTAACTCCTATGCTCAGAGATTCACTGACCAGGAAGTACTGACTTCCCAGTTGACCTGAGCTGGCTGGAACTTCTGTTGTGCCCAGTTACAGACTCTTAGAAATCCAGTGGTTTGTAGGTGAGGGTCTCATCTACCACCTGCCTCCTGCACCTACCTGAAGACCTCCTCACCTGGGTCTCTTCACCAGCCCAGGGTGCCCACAGGCGTTTCATGATCCCTCCACGTTCTTGTTGACAGAGGGCACAGCTGTGCTGTCACTGCTCTGGAAAACTAAACCCTCAGTCCTGGGGGTGCCAGCCAAGGGATGAGGTAGCAAGGCGCAGGCCAGGGGAACTGGAAGATTAGGCTTCTAATGTCCTCTTGGCTTTGCACTTGGTTCCCTCTCATTTTCAAATCAATAGCCTCTTTGCAAATGCCCCTGCCGCGGCCATCAGAGAAACACAGAAGTCACACGGGAGCCAGAGCTTACAGGGTGGCCTTGGGCCCCTGGAGGCTAAGGGAGAGAAGCCTCAGTAACTGGATGAGAGTGACACCCGGAGGGGCAGGCGGATCAGAGGGACAGGTGCCTAAAGAGAGCGCTTCCCAAGCTGCACCTGGACGCTCTTGAGGCTGGTCCTTGTTATGGGACAAGACACATTTGCATGACTGTGGAATGATGGCGTTTCAGGGGCAATCTGAAGAGTCATTCCCAATGTCACAATATGATTCAAAAACAAAATAAAACAAAAAAACCCTCAGAACATCCAATGTCACTCCAAATGGTTGTTTCATAAACTTAGTACACAAGTCAGTGCTATAGTTGGCACCTTGAATGACCCCCTAAAGGTGTGGGTGTTAAAAAAGTCTTGGTCCCCATGGTGGTGCCACTGGGGGACAGTGGGACCTCAGGAGGGGAGCCCTAGGGAGGTCCTTAAGTCATGGGGGCCTTGGCCTCTACCTGTCCCCTTGGTGTCCTGGAGATGAAATGAGCTGTTTGCTCCTCCACGTGCTCCCCGCCATTGCCAACCAGAGGCCCGAAGCCATGGGTCTGCCCAGTCTTAGACTGGAACTCCAAAACTGTGAGCCAAAAGAAACCCCTACTCTTGTTGTTAAAGATCTCAGGCATTTTGTCCTAGTGACGAAAAGTTGACACAGTCAGCACATCAAGTCTGGGGGTCTGGGTGGGGGTTCATCCTAATAGATCCCTGCTCTGTTTGGTGCACAATTACAGCTAACGAGCTATGGCTTATCCCTCTTAAGGGCATCCAAATGTCAGGATTAATGCTCTATAACTGGAAAATGACTTACCTTGGGCTTAAAAAGATTCTGTCACAGCCAGGGTGTGACCAGAGGTGACATGAGGGGTTTCTTCCATAGAAACACACTTGTGGGCTGCTTTATCGCCCCTCTAGAAAGCCTTTCATCCTAATGATGCTATTTTTACAATCCTCACTCTCCTCTCCCCCCAGCCATGTCCCAACTCTCTGGAGGTGGCTTCTTTTATACTGTCCCCATTGGTGGCAGTTCCCCTACCCTAGGATGTATTTGGTTTGGGGAAGCAGGCAGTCTGGGGAGCCAAGAGACTGTGGTATTCTATTTGGGTGGGTACCACTTGTAACTGGATGAGGAACGAGGTGATCTTCTGCTATCCTGTGGAATTTTGTTCTGAAAGTCATTGCTGAAGGGAAGTTGCCCAATTGTTTAAGAAAAGATCTAATCATAAAAATCATGTGCTTTCTGCCACCAAGGTAGCTTTTGGCTTTGAATCTAGCTTATTTAAATTTTTTCCCCTACATCCCCAGTCCTTTTATTTTGAAATAGGGTCTCCTTAAGTTGCTGAGGCTGGCCTCCAACTTGTCATCCTCCTGCTTCAGCCTGGGATTACAGGTGTGTGCCACTGCACCCAGCTTCAATCTACCCAGTTACTTATACTCAGGTTATCTGGTACTCATCCTTGGGGTAGAAGCTCACTGGATAGGCCTGATGATTGCACAGCAAGTTTAAGAGCTTACGGTGTCACATAGAAGAATGGTTGTTGCTAGGCACAGTGGTGCATGCCTGTAATCCCAGTGGCTTGGGAGGCTGAGGCAGGAGGATTGCAAGAAGTTCAAAACCAGCCTCAGCAACTTAGTGAGGCCCTAAGCAACTTAATGAGACCCTGTCTCTAAATATTAAAAAAGAGCTGGGGGAAGTGGCTCAGTGGTTAAGCACCCTGGGTTTCAATCCCTGATACAAAAAGAACCATTATAAGTGGATTTCTGGTTGTCATTGTTGTTTTGTTTTTGTTTCTTACCTGCTGGAAAATATTTAGGATGCTATGAAAAGTTAAATGATTCCAACTGCCCAGGAGATTTGGCAAAAGGCAGGCGAGATGTAGGACCATTCTGAAGGCAACCATCTGCGTGGCCATCCCATCCCTAGGGGGCTGAATCGGGTGGCCTGGGAACCTTTCTCCCTCCCCACATACTGGGAACCTTTCTCCCTCCCCACATACTGCCAAAGGAGGAGAGGCCACCTGGACAGAGCCGGCAATGCTTCAGTCTCCTCTCAGCGTGCATCGTTTGCCCTCTTGGGGCCTGTTTGGATCATACCCCCGAGGAAGAGCAGCAGATGGCAGGAGCTCTCAGGGCTCCCCTCTAAGACACAGCTTAGTCCAGGAGGATGGTGCTAGGGAGAGCACCTACTCTCCCAGGGTCTGGTGGGGCTCTAACAGCGCCCCTATGACCAGGGTGACAACTGTTGTCTCCTAAGAAGGTGAAGACAGAGGAGCTTGGGTTAGCAGTTGATCCAGCCCTGCCCTAGGACACTGCAGCCAGACCGCCAGTTAGTACCAGGGTTGGGACAGCACCCTTCGCCCCTGCGGCCACCCACAGAGGTGGGACTGCCAACCCAGATGAAGGACACTGGGTGGAAGCAGCTGGGAGTGGATCACCTGAGGCCTTTGTGCTCCCCTGAAAAAGAAAACAGCATGGGCCCTCCCATAAAGAGCCCTGAGGGGGAGAGGGCAAGAGGGATACAGATAAATTTATTAGTTAAATACTGATTTTACAGCCATTCCACCTTAAGACAATGTTATCAGGTTGGTGGGTCAGGAGGGAATGGAGGGGCAGCCTTCAGGGAGGAAAAGTGTTAAATGATGATTAAAACAGAATCTTGGTTCAAAGGTACTCTGCTACAGCCAGGAGGGCTGGGGTGGGGCTGGGAGTCTGGGGTGGACGGAGTGAGGCCACAGTCAGCGGCGGCTCTGCGGATACAGAGGACAGGGAGGAAGGAAGTCTTTGGGAGCCCAGCGTGGAGGGAGGAGGCCAATCCAGAACAGCTGGGAGCTGCATGTCCCCTCAAGGCCCACCCTCAGTGTCTTCTTATAGCCATCGTCTTTCTTTCGGCCAGTTTTGTTGTTTGGTTTGTGTTGATCTTGCAAACTCTCTAGCTTCTCATCTCCCAGACAGAAGGTTCTTGCCAGGGAAAGAATGCAGGTCCAGGTGCTGGTGACTTGGCCAGGCCACCGTCCACAGGCTCAGAGAGCAAGCAAGCTGGAGTCCCGAGCAGGGCGTGCCCCCCAGGTGCACTCCCCGGAGGACCTCGAGGATGAGTGTTCGCCAGTTAGTTTAGCAGCAGGACCTCTGTCCCTTCTCAGTACCCCTCTGCGTGGATGCGGTGAACGGAGGATGCTGGGGTCTGCCCTTCGGCTACACTACTGAGCTCTCGTTTTGACAAAGAAGAGGCATGATTGGGCTGAAGACAGAGCCGGATGGCTCAGGACAGCAGAAGGGATGTCTATGTCACAGGCCCTGGTGGGAGAAGAGAAGGAGCAGAGTCCTCAGCAGGGAATGGACTGGGGACGGCAGCACTGCCCAACGGCTATCTGATGACGCCACGCGGTGCAGGGGTGCAGGCCTCTCTTCCATTTCCCGGGATGCGTTCAGTCACCTCTGCACAGCACCCAGTGCTACTGGACTCAGATCAGCCGTGGGGATGCAGGGATGTGCAGTGCCTCAAGGGGAGTGTTGGGCAAGGGCTGAGGCTGCCCGAAGGGGCCTGTCACATTCAATACACATCAAGCAGATGCCCTGTTCAGGCTACAGCGGGGGTCCCAGAGCCCTGCCCCATCAGCTGCCCGTAGAGCCCCAGTGCTGGGAACACAATGGTAAAGCCACCACCTTGGGCCACAGCAGTGGGAAGCAAGGGAGATGGACATCTTGTCTCTGTCAGGGGCGGGGCCAGGTGGGACAGGGAATGAGAAAGAAGTCGCCAACTCCATGGAGGAGACTTATTGTGCCTGCCGTAAAGGGTGGGCTGGTCTGTGTCAGAGCGCAGAGAGTGGGCTCCTTCCAGACCCCACCTGGAAAAGGCACCTGAGACAATCCAACTCCCACTTCTCAGAACCAATTGTCGACTTCAAGTTTCTTCCCAGTTGCTCTGGAGTCCTTCCCAGGCAGAGGGCGGCCCCCAGATCCCAGGTCCGTGCAGGAATTTGAGGAGGGAAGGAGGAGAGATTAGGCAGTGATTATGTCCCCGTGACTGTCAGCCAAGACCAGACTGTTCCAAGAGTCCTGCTTGGAGCTGGCCTGTGGTGACTGGCTGACAGGAGATGCGTAGCCTTGTGGGGAGAGCTTCAGGGCAGAGAGGACCGGGTGGATGGAGGGCCCGTGGCCAGACACGGCACTGACGGAGAACGTCTGCAAGGCAGAAAGCACCATGAGGCCAGTGGGATGTGCCTGAGGGCTCACGGGGACCAGAGTAGGGACTGGTAAAGGTAGGCTGGGACACACTGACCCCATCATGTCATCCAAGGAGAAACCTGGCATGAGCAGCATGTGCCTGTGACCCCAGTAACTCAAGAGGCTGAGAAAGGAGGACTCAGAGCTTGAGGCCAGCCGCGGGAACTTAGCAAGGCTCTAAGCAACTTGGTGAGGCCCGGTCTCAAAACAAGAAGGGCTGGGATGTGGCCCAGGGGAACAAGCACTGCTAAGTGGCATCTCCAGTACCAAAAAACCCAAAGAGGGACCTTGCGGAAACCACCCTGCCCGATGTCTGCACCCACCCTGCCCTCTGCAGCTTCCCAGCCTGTGTCCAGCCAGCAGGGTCCTTCTTTCCCATCTGGGTGCCAGCATCTGGGCACCTTCTCCTTGTTTCCAAAGGCCATGGCACAGAGGGCCAGCTGTGTGTGCTACAGCTGTATCCAAATGCTGTGGCTTGATAAGCCATCCGAGGGCTCAGGGGCAGGGCTTTGGTAGCCCCGCAGGGGCTGCTCCTGCTGGCCATCTGCAGGTCTGGGGGCAGCTCATGCTGCACCCAGGGTCTGGAGTCCACTCCCCCGTGCAGCCCTGCTGCCCCGCCCACAGGGTACCTGGGACATGGAGCTGCTGTGCCCATAGTGAGATGACAAGCCGGGCTCTGTCTTGATGGGGCGCATCTCCTCGCTGCTGGTGGTGGTGGTGCTGCTGGAAGCACTGCTGGTGGGAGGAAGGCTCTCACTGCCGGAAGGACCTAGAACAGGGGGAGCCAGGAGGCACAGCTCAGAGGCAGGGAACTGGGAGAGTGGCCCTTTGAGAGAGCCGGACAGTCTCTGCTGATGGCTTCATTTACATTTGCCAGGGAGAGAAGCTGGGGTCCATATCAGTGGAGGGCACAGTTCTCAAAATGGAGCAGACGTGTCCTATTCCAAGGGGACTCTTCCAAATGACAAGCTCGTCCTCTCCCCCCACATCCCATACCCTTGAGGCCACATGTGTTTTAGAATTTAAGATCTGGATTTCAAAAAGTGCAAACACTGTATACTATAGAATGTCTCCAGAGGCATCTGGGACAACAACCCACAATCAGATTCATGAACATCGCTACAGCAAAACGCGAACAGTTGTACTGATCAGGATAAATGGCCCTTGTGTGGGTTCAGAGTAGGTCCAACTGCCAAACCCGTCTTCCTGGGTCTGGAATTTGGAGAGGGGATTTTTATGGCTGAACTGAACGCTTGCTGTGCCCGTGTGGCTGCGTGCGAGGATGGGAGGTGATGCCGGGGCAGGGCTGCAGCTCCAGGCAGCAGGGAGGAGGGAGACACGGGGGACCACGGGTGTGAGGCAGGGGATTCAACAGGAAGTATCTCTGCCAGAAGGAGTGAGCCAATGGTGACTCTAGAAAGTAGAATTCCCATCATGTCCTCGGTGGTGGAAATGGCAATTTATCTGACTGTCATGCTGCAGAAGAGAAGAGAAGCTCCTCATCATATCAGCCAATTTATCTTCTCTGCAACTGCAGCACTGACCTGTCAGATCCTTAACTTGGTAGCCATGTGGCGTAGGGAATGCCTGCACAGGGGACATTAGTGACCCTCCTTACTAATCTAGGAATTAAGAGGCAGAATGTTATATTGAACGGACTATTAACCCTGGTGTGTGAAGACTTCGGCTTTAATTTCAGTTCTACCCATGAATAGCTGTGGTGTAACTCTGGCTAAGTCAGTGCCCTCTCTGAGTCTATGTGCTCATTAGAAAGATGGCGTTAATAAACAGTTTCTCTGGGATCCCGAGTGGATCACTGAGACACTATTGACAAAAGAGCTTCCTGAAGTACAAAGCACCAGGTGACATAATGACACCTAGACATAGATCAATATGTAGAGAAAAAGACTAAGAGGATCCTGGTCCTTCTCAGGAAGCTAAAGGGATTGAGTTCTGGGCTGGCCATAGCACCAAAGACAAAGGAACCAAGCAACATGCTCCTCTCTGCCTCGGGCCCTCCACTGGTCCCACTGGCCATCGCAGTTGATGGCAATCAGACCCCAGCTAGAGTTGAGCCAGCTCCGAAAGCTCCCACTATGTACCATGGCAACTTTATTCATTGTGTGCTCAAGAGCCAAGGATGAGTGGGGCTGTCACACCCCTTGGCAGCCCAGGCTGGCCTGGCCTGACCCAGGAGAGGAGCTCCTCACACCCCGGGGCTCCTGGCGCTTCACCCAGCAGAGCTCTGTGCCTTACCTGCTGCTGTCTTGGATTTATTCAGGTTCTTGGGCTTCCGTTTTCTGGTTTGAATCCCCTCTTTCCGCATCGCGAGAGGCCTGGGGACCTAGAGGGTCACAAGTCAATACATGTGGCTTCCCATTTGCACACCTTGCACTGCAGGAAGGTGACACCTAAGCAACCTTCTGCAAACCCAGGCTGAGCACCCAGGCCCCTGGGACTCCTCGGAGAAAGGAATCAAATCTACTTTTAAAAACACACTGAGGGCTGCAGCCTGGGGTAGAGTGCTTGCCTCGCTCGCAGGAAGTCCTGGATTTGATCCCCAGCATCAGAAAAAAAAAATTTTTCATTGGGTACCTGTTATATGGTGGGTATTTTACTAGACCCTGGAGAACTAGAAAATGACACAGTTCCTTCCCACCAGAAGTTCCATTTAGTGGGAAAGAGAGACGCGGAAAAACCACCGGACTCTGTTAGTGACATGGGAAAACAGAGGAAACAGTATATTGTGTCCTGGGTTGGAGAAGAGAGGCATGAGGTTATCGAGGAGGGCTTCGCTGAGAACGTGACACCCAAGAGGCACTAGGGCAGGTGTTTTAGGCAGCAGGAATGGAATGTCCAAAAGCCCTGGTCATCCCACCAGGGCACTGCAGAAATAGGAAGGGGTGCTAGTAATAATGACACTGAGAAAACAGACAGACTGGGGTAGCGCTAGGAGTGGAGACACGGGCACCCGTCACACTAGCTCTGCCCTGCAGTCCTGCTGGAGCTGGTGATGGACTGCACGGGTGGAGGGGAGTGCACGGGTGACACCAGAGAGACGATGCTATGGCCAGGTCCTCCGAGAACCGTGCGAGGACAGCACCAGGTGCACCTGGTGCCAGAGCAAGCCGCGACTGGTAGAGTCACACCCTTTAGCCCTCACAGGGGCCTAAGCAAGTGTTCTGGGCTAACAAAGGCCAAAGGGCACCTTTCCAGTATCTTTAGATCCTGTGCCTTCCCCACATCTGCTCTCTCTGAAGCCGGGACCAATCTGCTAGCCCTGGTCTACTCTATGCTCATCTGCCACGTAGAACTAATAAAGGCCACACCTGCAGACGTGGAAAGAAAAGCAAGTACCACTGCAAAGACACGAACATGGACCGGCTATGAGAGAGAGACAACAACCTATGTGACCTAGGTCACAGCAGGCAGGTGTCGTCCCCCCAATCACCTCCTGGGCCTCCACAGCCACCGGTCCCTTCTGCCATCTCTATCTGCAAGGTCATAGATGGTCCCCCAGCCTCTATAGTATGGAGTCATGCTATACATAATACTTGCAGTGTGTGTTTTCATTTTACAGATCAAGATACATAGCTTTATTATCTTTACATTTCTACCCAATATTGCACATTATGGGATGTCCCATAATTTATTCAATCATTCTTTATGGGGCTCTGAAGTTTTTAAGCTAGTTTTTGCCACTATAAAGAAGACAGCAATGAATGGTTCAAATGTTATCATGTAGTGGTTCTTTGATTTTTTATAAGCTGTTTTCCCAACAGTGGAGCAGCTATGTGCAAAGGTTCGTGTGTTTTCAACCTGAACCAGTGTTGCTAGGTTAGCTTCCTAAAGAACAGGTGCAGCAGTTCACATGTGAATCAACAATACACAAGCGTGCCTGTTCCCCAGATTCACACCAGCAGTAGCTTTTACCATCCATTGTTGCCAAAAGTCTCAGGGTGCCTTAGTTTACACTGCCTGGCTCCCAGTGGGCCGGGCATGTGTGCATGTTCCATGGCTGTCTGGCTGGTTCCTGTGAGTTTTCTGTGCCTTTGTCCGTTTGGTACAGTAGGGGGAAGACCAACTGTACAGGCTATAGGCTCTGTTTTTTATTTTGTTTTGTTTTAGTTTACCTTTGAACAAGAAATATCTGTATGTAGATCATGTAAAAGGTACAGAGTGTACAGTGAAAATAATGTTCTCCTAACCCTGGTTCTAAACCCGTTTCTTCTTCTTCCCCTCCCCTTTTCCACCTGCTCTCCTCCCTTTCTCCTCCCTTCCTCCCTCTTTACCCTGCTTCTTCCTCCTTCTGTGGTGCTGCAGATGGAACCCAGGGCCCTGCGCATACTAAGAAATGTTCTAACACTGTGCTCCACTTCACTACCCTGTTACTCATTTCTTTTCTTGGAGTATCCCATGACGCAATTTATTTATTTTACTTTCTTCCTTTTTCTTTTCTTTGATTTTTTGCTTTCAGTACTGGGGATTGAACCCCGGAGTGCTTTACCACTGAACTACATCCCCAATCCTTTTTTAGTTTTGAGACAGGGTCTCACTAGATTGCCCAGACTGGTCTTGAATTTTCCATCCTCCTGCCTCAGCCTCCAGAGTCACCAATTTCTTATGTATTTTTCCAGAAGTACTGTACACATTATAAGCACCTACATATAAATGATGTTTTCCTCTTCATTTATAAAAATGGTGCCATACCATGTACAGTGCTCTGCACCCTGCCTTAAAAATCAAAACAACAATAAAATGCAACGCTATATAATGGAAATTGTCCCAAATCAGAACATAAGGAGCTTCACAGGAACTTTTTATGTTGAGGAAATATTACGTGCATATCAGTTTTTACTTTCTTTAGGCATCATTTTCCATACACTAATATTAAATGTTTAACAATTAAATACTTAAGAGTTTTAAAAACTTGCTTAAGGAATTCTTCTTCCATGCCCAATGTTACATAATACCTCCTCTTACATTTCTTTAGTTTTATTATCTGGCATTTTTGTTGTATTTATTTTATTTTTCTAGTATTTTCACTACAATATTTTGTTGTTCAGTATTTTCATTTTCTTACAAAGATGTTCTACATTTAGTGTCTTTAAATCACCTAAATTTATTTTTGTTTAAAGCACAAGTGGAGGTCATGTTTTACTTTTGTTTTCCAAATTAATAGTCAATCCCCCCCATTCCACCTGGCCTGTATCGGGGACTCAACCCAGGGCTTGTGCAGGTGAGGCAAGCGCTCTACCACAGTGGAACAGCCCAACCCCAAACACTTGTTTTATTGTGTTTTCTCCAGGGACTGGGGATTGAACTCAAAGGCAATCTGCCACTGAGCAACATCCCTAGCCTGTTTTATTTTATTTTGAGACAGTCTCACTACACTTCCCAGGCTGAGCTCCAATTTGCCAGCCTCCCGCCTCAGCCTCCTCAGTAACTGGGATTACAGGCGTGGGCCTCCACACTCAGCCCCAAACACTTATCCTTACACAAGCTGACATTTTATCCACTAAGCAGAAACATCACCTTTGTTTCCTGCTACTATATATAGTCTCATCTGTAAAATGGGAATTAAAATGTGAAAACTGAATGAGACCAGCACAGTGGCGAATCTTCCCAATGTAAGTCTTTTTTTTTTTTAATTTAAGAACGAAAAACAAAAACTAAAAACAAAAAAGTCTAGTCTGAAGGAAAGAAGAGTGAAACTTTAGTGATGGGAATGAAAGATCCTGGACACTTCCTGGTCCTTCAAGAGTCCCTGCAAGATGGCAGCGTTGGGCGGGGCATGTTGGTAAGTGGACAGGGCACAGCAGGAGATGGGTGGGGCATGGGTGGAGCATAGCAGGAGATGGGTGGGGCATGGGCGGGGCATAACAGGAGTGGGTGGGGCGTGGGTGAGGCAGGCTCAGAGTCCACTCACCCCATGGAGCTTCATGTAGAGACCACAGGCGTTGCACACCGGCTCACCCTCAGCATTGCGGCGCCACAACGTGGTGGTCGTGGTCTGGCAGTTGGCACAGGAGAGGCCCACTCGGCGGGAGGCGGACTGCAAACAGAAAGCAAACGTTTTGTGTCCAAGTGGAAGGCAGAGGCTGCTGCTTGTCTTCCTAAGTGGTGGCAGGAGGAGGCCACTACGGCCCTGGGTGCCATCTCAGACTAGTTGGTTCCGTTCATAGCCGCTGCAAGACCTCTGCAGTGCCAGCAAAGTGCAGTGCAGCCTGAGGCCTGGGGTCTAGTCCTATCATTTGACATCATCCAAAAACTGGGCCCTGCAGGCAGAGAAGCTTCTTCCCAAAGTAGAATTAATGTTTGCTTCCAGGTCTGGGAAGGGCAGTAGAAGAACTTGATGGACTTCAAAAGGGGCACTCAGGGTTTATCCCCTGTTCCTCCCTCCCCAACATACAGAAAAGCCAGTCAGAACAAACACCAGAGCCTCAGCCTTCCTAGGCTCTGGGTTTTATTAACTGATCCACTGAAAACAAGGAAGCAGGCTCTGGGTTGAACCCAGGGGCTGGGTAGGAGGCCCTCAAGACAACAGGTCAGTGGAGACTCCAAGTCTGAGTGGGTGGGCCGTCCTGCACACGGCTTCACTTTCCAATTCCACACAGTGCTGGTTGCACTAGATGGTTTGGTGCATTCTTGGAACTTGAGCTAACTCTAAAGTTGTGGAGTTACCTGATGCTCCCATCTCCCCACCCACCTAACCCCCTCAACCCACACCCTTGAGTTCCAAAATTCAAAACCAGAGAGTTCCCCCCCAGGATGAGAGCCTTGGAGCCAGATGCCAAGGAGGGGCGAGGTGGCTTCCCCAGGCTGGTGGAGGGACTGTTGGCACTTGCTTACCAGCCGGCGCTGGGGCTTAATGAGGGGCCGGTTGATGCCGTTCATCTTGTGGTAGAGGCCACAGGCGTTACACAGGTAGTGCCCGGTCCCGTCCCGCCTCCAGAGTGGGGTGGACATGGCCCCACAGTTGACACACTCTCTGCCTTCTGAGAAGTCATCAAACATGTCTACTGGGTGGGGAAACAGGAGAGAGCACACAGGATCACAGCCTTGTTCATGTCCAGCAGATCTCCATCCCAGAGTCTAGAGCCCAGAAAGACGCCTTTTCCTTGAAAGGAGAGGAAGGAGAGGAAGACCAGCTGGCTGCCCTCCTCCTCCTCACTCTGACCTTCACCTGGGGTAGTGGGTCCCGGGCTGCATGGGAAGTGGGCACTTTTACTCCTAGCCCTCCCAGACCTGGCAGGGCGTTCTTGAAAAAGCCAAAGCCCAGCTGCCAAGGCTGGGAGGGGCACATCCAGACCTCAGCCCAGCTCACTCTCCCTCTGAGTCTTCAACCCAGGGGCTCATCTAACCAGGACTGCTCAAACTTCTCTCCCTTTTTTCCTTCAAATTTAAGATTGTTTTTTCCCTTCGAAGAAAAATATCGTAAATATTTACATTAGGAGAATCACAAAGTACCAAAATTTGTAAAGATAATGCAGTGTTACAATCATTTTGCTTTATTATATCCTGTGCAAGGTTTTATAGGAGGCATATGTTTTTGAGTAACTGAGTTCAGGATACTTCGAATCTTTTTCCTACATTAGAAATTCTTTATAAACTCCTTTTATCACAGTGTAACAGTCCATCATATATATATATATGCTCTCTTTTAACTACTATCATTCAATAATTAATCTTTGTCCAGTGGCCAATTTTTGTGTTGTAAATATTGCTCATTTTCTACATAAATCTGTACATTCCTGGTTATTCCTTAGGATACTCTCCTAGAAGGAGAATCCCCCACTCGCTGCTGCCCTTTATTTTATGCAGTACTATATCTCAGTACTTACATTTTCTTTTTAAGACAGGGTCTCACTAAGTTGCCCAAGCTGGCCTCTAACTTGTGATCTTCCTGCCTCAGCCTCCCAAGTCACTGTAATTTCAGGTGTGCATCACTATGCCCAGCTACTAGTACAATTTCTAGGTCAAATGGAATTGATTTCTACTTGAGTTCTTGAAATTTTCAAATTCCTCTGCAGGAAAGACTTTATTTTCTCATTTTTCCCTACTTTAATACATCTGCATGATCTTCTGTGTCCTTGAAATCTTACCTTATTTACTGGTACGTAAAATAAAGGTGCTTATTCCCAGCAATAGCACCTCAGAGCAAGTCAGATGGGCTCAGAAGGCTGCCATCATCTGTCACTTCCCTTTCTCTTCCAGTTCTACAGAATTTCACAGGTGACAAATTCCTCATAAGGCCCTTCTCCTTGCCTGGGTGAAAGAGGCTAGGCCAATGTTCTCATTCCTTCCATTCTATAGAAAGCCCGACTCAGAACTTGCAGAAGTCCCACTGACTTCATGCTATTCTGATTTTCTGTCCCTAAACACAGCCACCTTGGTCTTCAGGTCTTTCTTGTCCTGCTGCCAGAGGCAAGGTGGATTCTCCAGTGAAAAGGGAAACTTCTTTGGGAGGCGGGATGCCAGGTGAAATCTCTCCCCACTTCAGGCCCAGCCTGGTCGAAGGCTGCACATTTTACTAACTCTGTGGCCCCGCTACCAGCTCTAAGGGAATGTGACTGGAGGAGAAGGAGGGGCCCTCCCCCCAACTCTGGGTACACAAACAGTCATTTGCACCTGCAAACAGGTAGCTGTGTCCCCACCAAGTAAACACTGTGCAGGTGCGAGGGGCTATTTGCTCAGGCCAGGGCGCTAACACAGCAGTCACACGAGAGGCTATTTTTACACCTGGGTCACACTCAGGGCCCTCCATCAAGGTCACCTGTGTTCCGAGGTGACTCCTGTCCATGGCTTGCCCCCACCTGGACCAACGCTATCATTGCCACCTCCACAGCCTTTGCCTTTGGCCTGTCAGGACTGCTCTATCCAGACTCAGGCCCCCTATGAGGGAAATAGAAGGCCCAGGGGTTCACAGACCAATCTTCGACCAAGACAGGAGGGACACCAGTGGGCCATACCAGCGTTCTGCTGGCAATAAACACTAGATGGCACTACAGTCTCAAAATTGGACCAGGACTCGGCAGTCCACCTTAAACCCTGCCTGAGGCCTTTTCAGCCCTAACCTAGTGCAGCATTTTTTCCCACTTTTCTTCATTACAGAAAAAGTAAATATATTCAGAATTGAACAGAATATTTAAAAAACGAACTCTTATTTAACCATCCGGCTTCTGATAATTTTGTGGCCAATCTTGTCTCTTCTAAACCTCCTCCCTCTTTTCCACCTCATCCTGTCATTTTTAAGAAAATCACAGACATTCTTTCATTTCATTCATAAGGATCTCAGTCTGTTGATCTAACAGGTAAAGATTTATACTTGGTTCCTTTTAAAGACAAGCAGACCAGCTTCTTCCCCGATTCTGCTTCATTTAAACTCTATAGTCAAAAATCTCATCATCTATTCTTCTTTGGGGAAGACAGATCCATTCTTCTCTGTACACTTACTGTTTTACACTGGGGGACAGGATCTTTGCAAGGGACCTAACAATCTTGGGATGTGTCCTCTCTGTTGGTTACTACCTTCCCTGCCTCAAGAACCCAACCCAAAGATTGCCTCCAAACTCCTGCAAGCTTGCCTCAAAGAATGGGCTACACAGTCAGAACCATTTTAATGGTCAGGTAAAGTCATTGGAGGTTGGCAAATATGTATTTGTCACTGACAAATATTTACCAGACATCTGCTGTTTAAGTAGGCCAATAGATGTCACAGGAGCTAAGAGGGCACCTTGCTCTCAGAATGCTAGTATCTAGTTGGGCAATATCAATAACGAGTAACAGGATTACACAAGTCATTTTCAGACTATACCCTCATCCGAGTTGGGAGTTGATGGCAGATGTTGCTGGTCTGGGATAGGAAGTGTGGACGTTCAGCCTAGGCAGAAGGGCAGGTGGTAAGCAGCAGCCAGGGAAGTGAAGACCATGCTTCCCCAAGGCACCGGTCAGCTCCCTACCCCCAACCCCCCACCACACACCTCCAAACCTGCAGAGGCCTCCATAGGTTCTACTACAAGATCTTGCCATCCAACTCATTCAATGAAATGTTACATTAAAAACTTGAATTGTTATTACAAAGACAATATAGCTATAGAAGAAAATGCTGATTCCATAATGTTAAACTGAAAAACAGCACATAAAACTCCACCGACGCTGAGATGGCAGCTAAGTCTACCACCAAAAAGCCTTTCCTGTCAGACCGTATGGACTTCACTTCTTCAGAAACACCATTCTGCAATGCCATGCCTCCCTGTTTTTAAAAATCTAATTAAAAAAATAGAAAACAGATCACTCCAAGCTCCCAATCTAAAATGCGGAAGGGACAATTTTACCCTCTTATATCTGACACTGACACTAATACACATATTTATTTCTCTGTTGGGCTGAAGAATGGAGAGAATAAAGTTCAAAGCCTGTTGCTTAGGGGAAGTAAGAGGTGGCAGGCTGTGAGCCCCACGCCAGCACAAAGTTCAGGTAGAAACAACCTCTTCTTAATCCTTCTCAGGAAGGGCACTGGGAGGAACTTCCCAGAGGGCAAGAGTGAGGGTATGGCATATCTCTGACTGGTGACAGCCCCACCACCCAGCACCAGGCATCAGGGGAACTGGTCCAACCACTTGGGAGGCAGTGGAAGCCTAACCCTGGGAAGTGGGTCAGCATCACCCAGTGGGGAGCAAAGACTCCTAATAACAGTTGTAAAGCACTTTGCAAATAAGAGGAAAAACTTACAACAATGGCTGTAGAGTGCTTTGCAAACACCCAATGAGATAACAGTGATGGATTATTGTTGGGAGGCTGGGGCTAGGGGGCAGGAGGCAGGGAAGAAAGACCATCAGGGACAGACCTCGGTGCAGGTGCTTGGGGAGGGCTGAGGACAGGTAAAAGAGCTGGGAGATTTAGGAATCTGACCTTTTCTCAAACCATCGGGGCCATGCTCAGAATTGCACATTGCTCCCAGGCTTGGCCCAGTTTGAGTCTGCAGGCAGACAGCCAACCGAAGCAAGACTGATAGTGTGCCGCTCACAGGAAGTATCAATTAACAATTATTTTAGCAATCAAAAGCTCAAAATGAATTAGGGGTGGAATCTAACTCCTCACTGCCATTCCATGCCCTGCTCTAAACATTTTTTTTACGGCTGGGTCATAGCTCAGTGGTGGAGTGCTTATCCAGCACACAGAAGGCCCTGGGTTCCATCCCTAGTACTGGAAAAAGGAAAAGAAAAATTCTTTTAAAAGGGGGAAATGAATCCAGTCTCCTGATGTGCAATGGGCATAGGAATCATGACAGACAACTCCACTCAAGAGCCTGAAAGAAAAATGAATCCAGGAGGTTGGAGGATCCCAGTCCTGACTTCCCAGGGAACTGACACCATCGAAGGCCCAGACTCGCCCCTCTCTCTGACCTCCTGCATCCAAATGGGCAAACCTACCCACTTGGACTCTGCCCGAGGAACTCTCAGAGGGAAGCAAGTCAGGATCAAGGAGGCAAGGCAGAGGAGGAAGGGAGGGAGGGAGAAGAGGGGAATTGGAGACCAGGCTTCGACTGGCAACACCTCTGGGCACTGCCCCAAAGCAGGATTTGTCTCCTGACTGCTGGACAGCAAGCTTGGCTGTGTGCCAGGTGATTGTGTGCCAACCTGACACACAGGTGCCACAAGCCAGGTCTTACCCTGTGGCATACATGCCACTTGGGAATTCCACTTGCTGGGAAAGCTGGATCTTGAGCCAGAGCCCACTTTGGAGGGACCCTCATCTCACGCTGGGTTTTGGAGTTGATGTGGTTTCTGACGGGGGCACTAGAGCTCAAACATCTGCCCTGTGTCTGCCATACAGTGCCCCGTGACAAGTGCTGGACACATAGGCATACACAAAAGTTGGAGCCAAAATCTCTGCCCAAGGGCAAACGGGCCGGGAATACACAACTCACAACAAATGATCCCATTCATTGTGACAAGCAGCAGCAGGCCTGGGCTTTAGTCCCTGCCTCTATTTCTGCTGTCCTAGGTCATTCTGTAAT